TATATTATCCACTTTTTGCAAATTGAGAAACACTAAAATTACAAAAAGGGTTCGATTTTGAAGAAAGGATTTTGTGCTCAAACCAAAAATTTCGAAAGGGATTGGGTTCGAATCGGAAAACTGGATCAACCTTACCTTGCTTGAAGATTTCTCGGCCAAAGATTGGACTCCGATTGAACTGTCCCTCTCTCTTCGTCTTCAGCTGGCTTCTCAGTCGGGGCGTTGATCGCGGTGGTTTGGAACACAGAGATGGATGGTGACGTCAGACTTTTGGAATCAGTGAGGCGCAACGATCGTGGTGGTTTGACAGGCGACGACAGATTTTGCTGCCTCGCCTGCTGGAAATGGTGGAGGGAGATCGTCGGGCGGAGATGAGGGAATAGGGAAGAGACTGGAGGAGGGAGGTGATAAGTCGGGACTGGAGGGTTTATTTTTCCTTTTCTTTTTTTAAATCATTATTTTTTAGGTTTAAAATTAGAACCGGAATTGATCGCCACCTGGATGCCAACTCAGCATTGTCATGCCTAGTCAGCCATTCTAATGGAGATGATAAAGGATAATTAACGTTTGGCTAATAATTCATATTACGATAGTTTTGGCTAATATTACGATATGGGGAAAATATTTGGCTAAAAAAATAGTATTTAGCCAATAAAAATACCGTGTTAAGGCTGAAAGTAACCATATTCAACACTATTCAACAGATCTAGAAAATGCACAGTGATAATGCAGGACTTGATCCAACGCAGCTTATGTTAGTGGTTTTGTCATTTTTGTCTGACCTTCTTGATGTTTTTTTTAGGATAAGGGTGATATATGTTTCATATCGTTGTCATTAAGGTACTAATTAAGAGATTCGAATATGAGACCTTTAGGTTCTATGCTAGTGATATCACCACTAGTTCAAACCCTTGTTCGTCTAACGTTCTTGATGTTTGACTCGAGGTTTCTTTATGTACACCATGTTTGTCTGACCGGCCCTCAAATCATCAAATCTCTCCATTATTTTCCCAATTGTTGCATGTTTTTCTTCTTTATCGTCGGCGGCGGATCTAGGGGGCTGCCCCGGGCCACGGCCCAGCCCACCCCGGATCCAAAGCTCGTATAGTACTTGTAAATTTCCGATTTTGGGTATATAATTCAATGTTTATAGTGTTACGGCTCAACCCTCTCCACCGCTTTTTAAATATGGCCCAGTGCTCTAACCCATTATGGATCCGCCGCTGCTTATCACATATCAGAATAGATAGACATATGTAATTTATATGTGCATAAAAACTACCCAATTGAATCCACACCGAATTAATGCGAGACGAAGGTGAATATTGAGATATCCATCACATCCTAGCCGATTGCCGTTCCTATCTCCTTAAAGTGCCTTCTGAAGCAGAGATTGTCACTGTATCTGTATGAACACTAATAATAATTACCACTCGCACGTGAAGGCAAGTTTTGATGATTATGCGAATCCCTTGGAATGGTAAGGGACAATATGGAGCCAGGCCCCCATCCAACTCGCCGCTTTCATTCGCGTACCAAAAAAGAGCAGATCGGAAAAAATCAGTGTCGCTGTTTGTTCCCCTGTAAAAAGGAAAGCAAAATGAAACGAGAAAATGGGCTATAAAAAGTAGTGATAGAGATGGGAGTGGTTGGGTTGGCAATCCATTTGCCAGAGAATGTGTTTCCTCTCCATCTCGATCGATCTCCACCTTTTCAGTTCTTACATACACTCATAGCCTCTGTTCCCTCTCCTTCTCATGGCAGCAAACCCATAAACCCCAGTCTTCTGTTTCCCTGTATGTACTTGTCCATCCATCCATCCATCATCATGATCATGATTGCGAATCATTATTATTCCCACAGGCACAGGCTCCACCTTCACTTGCTCCTCTTTCCATGATTTTACAAGTACCAATTGCGCGACCATTGAGGCGGACCATCCCCACACACAGATTATAATGCGCTAGTTCCCAATGTATATCCAAGAAGTGAGTGCAGTGAACGTGGCAATGGTGGTGGGAGATATGGCTCCTTGGGTTAACCACTAATCACTATATATGGCAGGTGTTTTGACACATCTCAAGAAGAAGAAAAATGTGATTTCCTATGCTTTGAACAAAACTTAATGTTAGTTTTAGGTACTAATTCTTAATATATTAAGTTTAGGTATCACATTATAATTTGAATATTAGTATGAGTACAATCCCAAATTCATGGATTAAAAATTTAACCCAACTGCAATAAATGGGTATGGGAATAACCCATCAAACTATACTAATTTACCATGTGTTTGGGTTTCATGTCCAATCTAATTGGATTGAATAAGTAAATACTCATAGTTTTGAACAAAATTGTCATCTCTAATAATAAAACAATTCTACTATAAGACATTTGAAAAGTCGAGAGGATCATAGTCTCGTATTTTGCCTCCCGCTTTTCAAGTTTTACCCTGTCTTTTTAAAAATTGGACAACTTAAAAAACCAATGGGTATACGTAATTGGATAAACATAACCATATAATCCCGGGTCAGATCCTATCCTCAAGCCTATAAGTTTAATGAATTTTATAAGTTTGTACAAGCTAATAGGAGTAGAGAAAGCACTAATGACTAACTACCTAAAAAAGCAAAAAGAGGCTAATGAAGGAATTAAACATGCCCACTCTTTCTGTGGTGGCAATATTAAAATTTTGTAATGATATTTATCAGTGCTTTATGATTACATTATTAAAAAATTTAGTTTAATTCTTAACGATTTACATGTTTGTCATCAACAATAATGAAGGAATTGTTGACTTTATGTTACATCGTCATTAACCGTTTGAATAACATTATCATTGATTTACAACATATTTATTAACGATTCACGTTATCACATCTTGTTTATTATCCACAAAAATATTAAAATATGCCTCTAACCTTTAATAACGATGTTGTAAATTATTATCTAATGTGTGTTTTGTTGAAAATGCAAGCAAAATTATTAATATTGATGGGATTTAATGATTATTAACCATACTATGTATTAATAATAAGGTAAAACTCACTCCGATTCCAAAACTCGTCAATTTCGAGTTCAACTCGCTTTGATCGGGTCGAATTAGGCTGAATACCATAAGTTCGGGCTTAATTATCCTAAAACAAAATACAATGAAATTAAAGTTTAAATGGCACTCAACTTTTAATTAAGTGGGCCGAGTTTTTAACAAAATACAAATCCAACCCAACTTGTCAATTACAATAGTAGGTAAAAAGCTCTTCCATCCAAAACTCATCAACACCTAGTTCATCTCTCTTTGATCGGGTCAAATTAGGTTGAATAATCATGGATTTGGGCTCAATTGTCATAAAATAAAATACAATGAAAGTGTAAATGACACTAAATTTTGATTAAGTAGGCCAAGTTTTTAACAAATTCAACACCTGACACAATCTGTTACTTACAAATGCGGGTAAAACTCGCTACCGAACGAAAACTCATCAATATCGAATTGAACCTTTTTTTATCGGATCTTTTTTCTGTTATCTAGGTGCGGGTTAGATGGAAAGCTGGTAATGTTTTTAAAAAAATCCACACTCACCCAACCCGTTAATTACAAAAGCGCGTAAAACTCGCTCCCAAGCAAAAACTCATCAACACTGGATTCAGCCCGCTTTGACCAGATTGATTGTTTTGTTTTTGAGTGTTGGTGAGATGGAAAAGCAGATCATTTTTTTAAATATTCATACCCGACCCCAACCCATCAATTACAAAAATGGGTAAAACTCGCTTCCGACCCAAAATTCATTAACACCAGATTCAACTCACATTGTCCTGATCGAATTAGGTTTTAGAGCAAAAGTTTAAATGACACTAATATTTTGACTAAGAGGGTCGAATTTTTAACAAAATTCACAACAAATGTAGTCAAAATCGATTTTAAAACTTAAAAGCTTATGGTTTACGCTTCTAGGTTACCAAAAAGCTTTCGTTTTCATATAAAAACTTTAGTGTATAAAATCGGACTAAACTGCACTTCAAAACTTGAATCGGGTGGAGATTTTGTCAAAAGCCAGTCCACTTTTTATTTGACTCGCACATAAAAAGCAAAACAATCGGCCATATCAAAGCAAATTGAATCAATCTAATTCGACTTGTATAATGCGTGTTGAACCTGCTGTTGGCAAGTTTTGTATCGTAAGCAAGTTTTAACCAATTTGTAATTGATAGGTTGGGTCGGGTGTGAATTTTGATAAAACCTCGATCTATTTTCCATCTTACCTGCACCTAATAAACAAAACAATCATCTCGGTCAAAGTGGGTTGAATTCAATGTTGATAAAGTTTTGGTTCAAGAGTGAGTTTTATCCGTTTTAGTGGATAAAACTCGGTGCGGGTCGCCGTCAAAAGTGGGCCAAGTTCTTACAAAAATCCACACCGGACACAACCCGTCAATTACAAAAGCAGATTAAACTCTCTCCCAGCCCAAATCTCGTAGACACCTGGCTCAACTTGCGTTGTCCACATCGAATTAGGTTGAATACCACTTAAAGATTATATACTTAAATTTTGATCAACATGAAAAGTTAATCAATAAAAAACTGTTATTGATTTTCACTAATGAATATTGCCCCTCACAGCCACTCTATTATATATAGAATAAATAAATAAATAATAATAACAATAACGTAATAAGACAATGCGAGTTGAACCCGATGTTAATGAGTTTTCATTCGGGAACAATTTTTACCTTCTTTTGTAATTAATGTGTTCGGTCGGGTGTGAATTTTGTTGAAAACTCGATACGCTTTTCTATCTGACCGAGTTGTTAATCAAATTCACACCCAACCAAAACCGTCAATTATCAAAGTGCTTAAAAGTCGCTCCCAACCTAAAACTCGTCAACACCGAATTCAAGTCGAATTATCCAAATCAAATTAGGTTGAGTAACCATGACACTAAAAAAATTTATACACTTAAAAAGTTTCTAGTACCAAGCATTAATGAGGTTGGTGAGAGATAGCCAGATTTTCATTAAGAAATAAAAAAGTGGGGAGAAATTAAGTGTCACAGTTACAAAGGGCCACATGACACTGACACCTTTTGTTTCATTCTCCCCTGGACCTATACATATACATAGTTCCCAATTGAACCAAAAGGGGGAACTATGGAGTACTACACGATTGCTATTGATTACAACAGGAATTTGAATGAACTTATCAAATGAGATTCCCCAGAACTTGTGTGTGTGTGTGAGGGAGAGACACCTTGAGATATGGATGATTAGAGAGAGATATACACAATAATGGATCTGAAGCTGCTGTTTTCCCTAATACACTCTCTCAAACAGCACTTTGGCAATGTGGTGATTGATGGTTCCAGGGTCAACAACAGCAGTGTAGTAGAATGTCCTGGCCACATCCAGGAATCTCTGCTTCATTTGACCGGATTTGATCCCTTCATCATTCTGGGTCACCATGCGAACCAGCTCCTGCATTCCACTCTCTATCTCTGGGGTTGTGGTTGGGAGGCTGCTGCTGCTATTTTCCCCTTCCTGTTTACAGTACAACATTTACCCCAAAAGTAAAAACCATTAGTATCCTGTTTTCTTTAGCACCCTAGCTGAAGCTCTAAGAGATGAACAGCATAATGATAAACTTAATCCATCAATTGTTTGCCACTATGATTGAATGGTCAAGCTGACTTTATTTTGGGGGCAATGTCAGAACCCATTGACAACAGTAGTACTTAGTTGTGACATTATGTGTTAACCTAGCCAATTTAGAGGTGTTCAATCAACTTGGTTAATGTCCTCCCCATTAGAGGATATAGGTCATAAATTAGAATGAAAGGCCATCATCCCACTTAATTTGGTTGATGGGATTTGCCCTCTGCAATAGTGGAAAAGACCACTTGGAATGAAAGTGGAAAGTTTTTTGGTTAGATTGGGGAGTTTGGAATTAAGCCAACGTAGAAACAAAGGGCAAAAAAAAAAAAAGGGCAGGAACCGACCTTTGTGTGGCAGAAATGGGTAAGCTGCTGGCAAACTCGGTTGGTGATTTCGGCCAGCTTTTGGTGCTGCGGATTGTCATTACCCGCCAAGAACTCTTGAGAGTTCAAATGGCCAGCAGCCAAGCTGAGTGTCTTCACCAGCAGCTCTGCCTCCCCAACTCCCCTGTCTCCTTCCTCTTCCCATTTCACCAGCCACTCTTCCCACTGCAATTTTTCCACAACGAACAACAATACACCTTCAGTAATTTCACTAAACAACAAAAACCCATTATTCAAAATGGCCGGTTTGGAAGGAAGTGTGCTAAATTGCAATGAAAGCACTCACAGAGTGGCGCAAGGAGTGGCCAATGTCCCGGCCATGAGCAACCAGGGCGTCCAACGAGATGTGGTTTAGCGTGCTCAGCACCAATTTTACAAGGTCTTGTCTTTTCCTGTCCTCACTCGATCTCCTGAATCAACAATATTCCCAAATTTTTTTTTAAAAAAAAAAAAAAATCAATTAGTAAACTATTCGAGAGAGTATTACTGTATGCTCAAAATCGCGACCGCTCTCATAAATTTGTCGGATATTACTGACGACGTTATACCTTCCGTTGACGAGTCCTCGGACGCCGATACCGTGGGTGAACTCGTGGACAAAGGCAGCCCGCTGATCATTGGAGTCGTTGACGTGGAAGTATGACTCGACGGCGTCGAGAAGCACGGTGGTCTTGGCCCATGCCAGTCTTTCCTCTGACCTGTCTTGTTCAAACACGGTGGCCGCCGCCAGGTAGTAGCCGTGCAGCAGGCTTCTCTTGCTCACACCATATTTCCCCACTCCACATTCCTCGTACCACCTACCCAAACCCCAACATAAAAGTCAAAACAGGAAAACAACGTTATTGACTTGTTTTGCTTACCAGGAAAGAAAAAGTAAAAGTACTTGACTAGGTAATTAATTAATTAGATAGTCTTTGTTTTTGACTGACTTACTTTTGAAGGTTGTCCCATTCCATGCGGTGCATTGCTTGGCAATCGTTGTAGTCAATCTTGGCAAGCTCCAAATACTCGTTGTTATTCACGAGTGGCATCCTGTACGTGTCAGAGAGTAATTACCCACATTACGATAATGATCTTATGATAAGTTGCAGTCTTCAAAGCATGCATGTGCTAATTACTATTTATACTACTAATTAGGTGCCCAAATTTGAGCAACCCCCATTTCCATAATTAGTAATATGTTATTGCAACTCGAACTTCGTGGTTATAGCTATAATTAGTAATATATTATATATTATTACATGTTGAAGATCAAGGTCAAAGATGGTTACCTGTAGAGAGTCTTTCCAATCCACACGTCTTCCTCCCCACCGTATTGTTCAATGAAGAATCGGCTCTCCACTCGGGGCAAGCTAGCATAGAACGGGACGTCCAATGCATATCCCACCTACCAAAGATTCCCACATTTTTAACCCACGGTAAATATTTTTTCCATGGAGTGGTAAATTTTGATAAAATGAATTTTTTTTTATATATATATATATATATAGTAATATTAGTAGTGTAGTACCTCTCCGGGCAAGTCCTTGGTAATGATCCATTTGTCAAGGAGCTCATTAGATGCTTGCTTCTCCCTTAGAAATTTATAGGCGTATTCTTTGGCGTTCTCCAGGATTTCCTCTCCTGGAAACAAAACCTGAGACGCTCTGTACAGGTTGAATAGTCCAGTGATTGCTTGATTCGACTGTCCAGCAAAGCAAAAGAATTCGCCGTCTTTCTCGAAATACTTGAACACATCTGCACAGAAGAAAGAAGTAAAAACCAAGAATTTTATTAAAAAAATATATATTTTTTTTACTAACTCAAATTCCGTTACTATTTTTTGTTTTACTGTGGTTCTTGGTTTAAAACTATAATTAATTACCAGGAGAAACTTGACGGCCGTGGGTTCTCAAGATCCTGAATCCCATGGCAGTATCATCAATGTCGTGGACCTCAGAGTTCCTGGCCCAACAAATCCCCTTCTGATCCCAGTGTCTGAAAAAAAAGGCAAAGGAGGAAACAAAAAGGTTAACCAATGTACTTCATATTATCCTATCCAAAATAAATACAAAATGCTAGAAATTAAAACTAACTTTTCTGCTACCAAAAAAAAAATAATAAAACTAACTTTTCAATGTAGTCGACACATTTAGTAATCTCAGGCTGGAAGTATCTTGAAATTCCCAACCGCTGCATCCGGTCAATAGCCCAGATGTTCTCGAACAGATCAACCGGGTAGACATTCGGAACTGTAGATGATAACCACCATAAAAAATCGGAGTTAAAATGATATCCTCCACGGTTAAAAAAGTTAAATAAAACACAGTAAAAAAAAAAAAAGTAATCTACAAACAGCATTAATTACCTCCTCCCCTGAACTTCTGGACAATTTTACTGAGGTATCCCAAGCTCTTTTGGTCCTTGGTCTGAGAGAGCGCGTAGGCAGTAGAGGCAGGGGAGAACAAGAAAGAGCCATCTTGGCACTGCAGTTTCAGAAGCCTTTCCCAATCCAGCTCTGGCATTCCTTCCAAGCTATGGAGTAGTGTCGTTGGAAAAGTGTGCAGTATTTCCTTTGGAATCCTATTCATAATTCAACCCAAAAAAAAAAAAAAAAACAGCCAGCCCTTCATTATTGCAGTCCATACACGGGCGCCGTAACTTTAGAATAACAATCATCATCACCCTTTTGTTTTCTCTTACAGCTTTTTCCACCATTTGGGTAATTAATTAACTCAGCGAGTAGTGTTTTAAGGGAAGAAGAGCTTACTTTTTGAGCTTGAGGTTTCTGGCGGCGTAAATCTGCTGCAGAACAGGGGAATCGTGGGCGACGTCGAGGTTCAAGCGGCCGGCGAGCTCGAGTAGGGAAGGGAAAGCAACTTCGAAGCCGATGGGCATGTGCTCCATGTTCTCGTCTTCCAACTTGTTCAGGTTCTCGTTGAAGAACTTCATCCCTGCACAAGAATCAATCATTTCACTATTAAAAAAAACAGAGCAGAGAGAAAACAGAGGCAAACAAGACTGGCAACAGCAAACCCTTCCCGTTGCTACCAAATCCGACACTCATTCGGATTCAGACGGCAGGTATATACTCTTACATGGGCGGTGTTCCAAACTTTTTGTCCTCATGTTAATAGTCCAACAAATTTTTATTTTTATTTTTAAGAAAGCGACTAACCGATTCATAATTAATCAAAATACCTGTTATAATGCTCTCGTTCTACTATAAGATAAATAATGAAAATAAAAAGAAGAAATTACCTTTGGCGCATTTATCAGGGTGCAAATTCCAGGAGGTGAGCGCGATCACACAACCCAAAGTGTTGAGAATGCGATCGTGGGCCTGAAAAATGAGGGCGTCGCCCCACGAGCCGTCGGGAAGCTGATTGTTGGCAATCCAGTCGAGGCTCTCCGGGAACTGCGGCTTGTCACTTCCATTCACGTCTTTCACCAGAGCCACCCAAGCCGTGTCGTATGCCGAGACGTTGATCTCTCCATCTTCCATGGTGCTCAACATAGTTTTGATCATATTTACCCGTTTTTTAATATCCTTTGATATGGACACCTTGTTTTAAAAAATGGCCATATTAGAAGTCATCATCATTAGTACAATGCATCCTTAAAATAATAACAGTAATTAAGATTGAGTGGGGGAAATTGTATATTCACCTTGAGAGTTTCCTGTTCGATGTCTTCCACAATGTCCTGCCACTTTATAACTGGCAAACCATTTGGTTGAAACACGTCGGCTTCATACCCTTTTTCATTTTTAAGAACAAACAAAAAAAGAAAAAAAAGATTCATAAGAATTGGGGTCCAACAAATCAGCTGAATGTTTCATAGGTTTATTTCTGGGACAAATAACAAAAGGTTAATTTTATGGTCATATCTTCATATGGTTAAAATTGAATCTACAAAGGCAAATCTTCATATTTATAGTTAGTTACGAGGAAGTAAAGAAAAAATATAATTACCAAATAATAAGACTATATATTCACCTTGAGTACGAGATTTGGATATGGCGCTACACTTTGTATGGTTGTCAAAGTGAAGCTTCTTATCCTTAGAGGAAACCCCGTTCAACCATGCATTGCCTGTAGCATAAATATCAAACCCAAGAAAAATTAAGTACATGCACTTCTCAATATAATGGTTGAACTTGAACCCAAGTTTCTAATGGGAGTATAATTAATTTTATCAGTTTCACATTATCATGACCTACTAAACTACTAGTGATTAATTAACACATCTTGTCATCTTTTGTAACGTAAGGTGGACAAAGATAATGTATTAAGAAGGAAATGAATGCAAATCTTGCTTCTTCTTTTTTTTTATTTTATTGCTAGTGTATAAAACAAAGTAAACAAATATATTGGAGAAATCATTTGAATGCTGAGATTTATAAAAATTTGAAAAAAAAATTCAGCACCATCTAAAATTAACGAAGAGCTTTTTATCCTTTTTACAGGTTGTACGGTGGAGCCAATAATCATACTGCTTGAAATGGATAAAAATATGTGTGGGAGAGAATAATTAAAATAATTGATTGGTTAATTAAATTAAAAACGAAAGAAAGAAGCCAATGATGAAAAAAGAACAGTCCACTCTACTCCTTCCTTCTCCCTCATTGGAGAAATATATTTAGAGAAGGGGAAAAAAAAAGGCTGCCAACTCCATCTCCATGGCATTCCCACTAATTGGTTGGGAAGAAAAGGGCAAAATCCGAATCATCCATTTGTGCTTCACTGAATCATCATCTAGATTGATCACTTTGGAAATGCCGTTTCTTTATTTATTTATTCATATATATATATATATATATATATATAATTATATTTTAAAAAAAAAAAAAAAAACTAGCGTCCTCTTCCTTAATTACCATCAGAAGGGAAGAAAATAAAGTAGGACACGCGCCGGCCGGGCAAGAAGCCGACGAAGATAACGACAAGAAGAGCATGTACGTATTGATTGATGTTTACAGGAAGGCAGCACTCACCGGTTGAGAAAAACAGGGGCCGGAAGAAGGAGGATGCCGGCACCGGAGGTTTGGTGGAAGCGGCGACGGCGGAGGAGGAGTGAAGAAGAGAAGCCATGGTTTGAGGGTTGATGAGTGGATCGGATGAGCTTATCTTCTACTTCCTTCTTTCTTATATTAGTTGCTTGGGTTGGTGGGTTGTGAAAAAGCTTACGAGGAGGTAAGGGGAGAAATGAGAGAAGAGAAGGTTTTGGAGTTGGAGGTAGGAAGTCGATAGTGGGGGGAGTATTTATAATCGGTGCCGGCCCGGCCGCCACCATGGAATCGGGGAGAGAGAGAGAAATAAATATATTAATTTAATGATTTCATGTGTTTAAAAGAGGAAATAAGGTAGTTAATTAATTAATTAATTATTATCTAGGGGAGACTAAGCAAAGGAAAGAAGAAGAGAAAAGGGGAGTTGGCCCGTAGAGAGCGTGGAAGGAAGGAGGAAGAAAGTGGCCAAAGGGAAGGAGACAGAATCAACTTCCCAATAGATTCCCGTTTATGGCTGCATGGGATCGGCGGCAAAACAAAACAAAAACAAAACGCAGCAGCTCAACAGCCCACTTTTCTCTCTTCGACGGTGGCAGGGCCGCTCTCTCATCTCATAGTTAAGGCTAATCAAATGATTAGCGTAATTTCTATTAATCAAATTAACTAAATTAAAATTTAATAGATTTGGTTAGTTGGTTATAGTCTTATAGTGTTACTCAATATAATATAGCATTATCATTTTATATGAGAAAAAAATATTCTTTTAATGCATCAATCTATTATAGATATAATGCCTAATACATAAGAATCAAGTAATAGTTAACCCTTAACATAAATACACATAACTAATATAATTATTTTGCGTTAGAAGAAAATTTATTATCTTGCAATAATTAGAAGTAGCCCCCTATAAAAATAAATATAGCAATGGTGTGAGATAATGAATTGAGAGTGTATGCGTGAATCGTTTTAGACTCTTAGCAGTTATAAGCAACTGGAAATTACTTCATTGCCAGCTTTTTTCTTCTTTGTTGAATCAGTTTCTTTATTGACGTAAATAGAGAACCAAATATCTATGATTTATATTCTCTATAGAGCATGAGACTGAAGAGGGAATATCCCAAATCGAAGTGTACGAGAGATGATAATGCCCGAGCCATCAATTCCACAAAGATGAGGGGTTAGACATTAGAGCCCAATCCACCCTCTTCCTTAGGCAAAGCAACAAATTTCCAGACCAGTTTGGCTCGTCTACCCTCCTCTTCTACACCCCATAAGTATGCAGAACATAACAACTCAAGTCTCTTAATGAATTCAACTTACAGTTGGTTGATATTCATCCAGTACTGAGTAATACTTGAGATCACATAAGAGATCAAGTGCATTCTATCTGCGCGTATGAAAGTGACTTATCCCTCCATCCTCTTATTTAAGCAGTTACTTTCTCAATAAAAGTTTCATAGTCTGCAGATGACAGCTTCCCAGCAACAAGAGGGACTCCCAAGTACCGTATTGGGAGCTTAACTACTATAAACCTCATGGTTGAAGCTATAGTAGTTTGAGTAAAATGATCAACCCCCACAAAAAAATATCTCACTCTTGCTAGGATTGTACTTTTAAGTCCAGAGACCATGGAAAAGTAATCAAGGATCTTAGTTTTGACCTCTATAGCTTCAGGAGTTCCTTTGGTGAAAATCCATAAGTCTTCGACAAAGCACAAATGGGATAAGGAGATTTTGTGTGTTTGAGGATGGAGATGAAGGATTTACCAAAACAAATATATAATGGAAAAAAATTATGAGCTTTATCTTAATGGATCTAAAAGGGGGGAACATTTTAATCTTGAGTAGTAATGCAAAGTATTAAGTATGTGTTATATATAGATGCATGGCCAATTTTCTAATTGGCTAATTTGTTTGATTGGTTAACGGTGTCTTAAACCACTTAGACCAAACAAGCTAGAAAATTTAACCAAACCAATTATCCAAATTAACCAAACCAAAGTATTTGAACACTCCCTACTCAAGTACTCATGATTATAATGTCGGTGGCATGTTGGGTGGTGAACTAGGTTCAACCGGTTAAAAAACCGACTACTATTCTCAAGGTTTGGCCCGGTTCGATTCAAACCGGACCATTGGACAATCCTGAAATATTGTCCTAATACCCTTATATCAAAAGCTTGCAAAAGCGATTTAAAAGATAGATTCTATGGTTTTTACAAGACTTGAGGGCTTTTACTTCGACTTTTGGCGCACAAAGCTTTTTGAACAAAAGCAACAACAGTTTGGGGGTTCAAAGCTTAAAAGCTTAGACTTAGACTTTAAAACTAGCTTTTGACTGCATATACTTTTGTAAAAACCGAAATGAGCTGGCATAAATCATTGTACCACCGGTCGGACCATAACACTTGCAAAACCGACATAACACTATAAACCAATTTGACAACCTTGCTCTCTCTTCCATGGTTACGTTACCTTCCCTAATCGATCCATCGGACCATGAAAATGTCCATTGCTGGATAAATTAGGTACGATATACATAATACATTTATTGTGAAAATATTGTAATAAATCGGACTAATTCCTACGTTCAAACCTGGGGCTGGAGGTTCGGTTATCGGTTGCCGGTTAACCGATAACCGGCGGTTACCGGTTAACCGACTAACCGAAATAGACGTGCGCGGTCGGTGTTCGGTAGCGGGGCTAGATAGGCCGGTTAACCGGCTAACCGACACATCTAACCCCTCATAAAACGACGCCGTCCCACTTCCAACCTAACCCTAATCGATCCACCCCTAACCGCTAACCCCTTTCTCTTCTCTCGCGAAAGACGCGAGCTCTCTCCCCTGCCGCTTGCCCTGAACGACGATTCAGCGAAGAGACTCCCCATCTCTCCGCCATCTCCCTCCCCGACGCCGCCTCTCTCCGCCATCTCCCTCCACGTCGCCGCCGCTCTCCTCCATCTCCCTCCCCGACCCGCGCTCATGCTGCTCCGTCATCTCCTCCTCCACCGACCAGTCCACGAGCAGCCAGCAGCCGCCACTGTTCCTCCCCTCCGACTGCGTCGTTGCGGTTATCTTGGTTAACCGAGCAACTAACTGGTAACCGACCAGTCGGTTGTCTGATAACCGATGAGATCCGTCGGGCGGTTGGCGGTAGGCGTGTCTGACTTCGCGGTTAACCGGTAACAGACATTTCGGTTATCGGTTATAACCGAGATAACCGAAAATTCAACCCTATTCAAAACGGCAATCCTTGATTGTATAATTTACATTATTTGGTTATTTGTCTTTGGTTATGTGGTTTAGTGGTTTAACAGTAAACCTACAGAAGTGACATGATGGTCAATTAATGGAACTAGCAACTAGTTCAGGGAGATATTTTTGTTATGTTTTGTTTCATATTTTTTATAAGACGTTAGAAAAATTTCACATCGACAAAGCACGATCGAGATTAATGATCCACAACAAACAATCCAGTTATAGTTGAGAAGATGTGTTTCGGGTGAAATAAAAGAAGTCTTCTAAGAACTCTGACCTTACACGTGATCAGAGTGAAGCGGTGCAAAGATGGATTACCTTTTGAAAAGTCATCATGTATAGTGCTTATCACTCTGATTCTTGATACATTTTCCTCTTCTAGAAATGTATCTTTATTCCTTTCTCATGTACTATTTATCTAAATTATAGCTATTCTTTGATAACTGCAACCTAAATAAACTTGAATCAAGCATTAGAAGCCCTCTAAAGGACAAAAGGAGTTGTAAAACAGATTAAGGAGTTTTCATGATAAAGACAAAGTAGAATGACGAAAAAGCCTACTAGTAACTACAAGTAGAGCCCAATCAGAAGCAAAAACCAGCGGTGGCCCAACAACTAGGTTAGAATGGCCAATTGGATTGCTAAGCACAAACATGGACAATCAACATGAAAAGTAACACAATCATTTCATTAAACAACACCCATAAACAATCATTCAATTCACACAATAGCTACATGGAAAATAGTTAGGGTTTCACAACACCCAAGTGAAAAAGGAAACTACTCCATGCTAGAAAGGGGAAGAACACAAGAGGAAGAGGTAGAAACCATAATGGTGATGCCTCCAATCTCCTTTGAGCT